TCAGACCAAGACTTCCAAAGTTTCGGGGTGCTGCGCGATCCAGCCACTCCAATACTCTTGGTACTTGCAGCCTTCCAAGTCAGGTTGATCTTGCAAACGGGATCTCGTCAGGGCTCTTGGCGAACGTACCGAAATTACGTGGTGTTGGCTGGTTGCGCAGCAACACAACCAGCAGGGGTTGAAGAATCCTATAGACTATCCTTTAGGTACCCCTGTAGGGTCCTATAAGGACACTTAACCTCTGTTGGAACCATATCGACAAGGATTTTCGGCGCACAGTTGCTTACTTGGTCTTGCAGAGTCCTTCGAGTGAAGAATTGCGGGTCAGATATGCTCAGGCGACTGGCGTAGACCAATCAAGGTCAGACATGCGTGGGGAGCCATGTATGGTACTTCTTCCAGTCCCAAATCGTTTGGTCTGAAGATGTTCCTTTGGGGTCCACGCATCCCGCTTAACTGTAAGCCATCTGTTGTTGATGTTTGGTAAGTTCCGTCCAAGTCTTTGCAACTTCTTCAGTTTGTGACCGAACTTGGTCTGGTTTGAGGTCTCAAGCAGGCCTGTACAAGGTCACGGGATGGAATTCCGGGCAAAGATAAAAACTACAGAAGCTAGCAGTTTTCTTGTTTTTGCCACCAGTGAGAGATTCGGAAGTTAGAGGGAGAAAGTATGGAGTTAGATTTAGGGCCTGGTTCAATGTAGGACATGAAGTATCCTGGACTAAACATAGAACGCAAACAAACAAATAAGAATGAGTTCGCAATAAATAGTGGTTGTTGGGTTTGCAAGTTCCATTGTGATTTTTACTCTATGTAGGGTCACCACACTTGGAAGACGCTCTTTGCAGGTCCAGAGTCTGGAACACAGGTTGGTTCCACCCGCATGCCCAAGCTTAAGTGGGATATGCCTTCTGAAGTTGATGAAGACCCTTGTGCATGACACGGGGTGCGAAACGAGCAACGCTGCCTCATGAGCTGTGATGCTGTTTTTTTGTCAGCCTGAAGAATTTTGGATTTTGCCCAAGAGATTCCACCAAAGAGTGCAACTATAAACGGGATTCATCGACATATTTGTGGAAGCAAAACCCGGGCTACTTCTGGGCCCACTTGGGATTGAGGATTTCTTGACATGGGATGGTGATGGGTACTGATGGACGGTGGATAGGTCAATGCAGCTAGATCATCAAGCTATCCAAGCCGTTGGATATTGGATTAGAATGCTTACACTTAAGACTGCTTGGCGGGGAGAGTTTTACAGTGTCGCTTGGAAGACAGCTCACAGCTCTGCAGGCGCGACCCTCCAGCCGTCCAGGTTTTTGGCGCAGCCTCGACGCAACGAGTAAGCTGGGAGAGTGAGGGAGACTGGAAGTTCAGATTTGGTGGCAGGCGCAGCAATTTTGAACCTGGAAGTGCAGATTTCGCAGCAGGCACCCCTACGCTTTGTGAACTTGGAGGTGCTGATTTTGTGCGCTTGTGGCGCAGATTTCGTGGCGAGGGCAGCAAATGTGCTTTCATATGTGTGCTCTATTGTGCTCACGGATGCGTTTTGCTTTCACATGTGCTCTCTAGACCCTTGGCCTCCATTTAGTCCGCCATAGAAAGAGCTGAGCGCAAAAGCGCCGGACTGTGAGCTGTTTTGACACTTCCAGACAGTGCGCTAATGCGGCTCCCATACAACCTTTCCTTTTTAGCTCCAAATGAATGCCAGCTCATCTTTTGACTAGAAAAATGTTCTTGATGTGACCCGCAAATGTTGTGGTTCATGCACAACTTGGGTGGTTAGCAGCATGTGCTTCATTGATAAACTTGTTGTTTTGCACAGCTCTTTAAACAACATATGCCTCATGTGATCAGGACGTGTTGTGGTTGATGCCAACTCATTCCCTCTTTCCCTGCTCAGCAGGAGCAAGGCGGTGACTTTGTTGGTTCCGACACGATTTTCGCGGAACCGACCGCAAGTTCCGTTTTTGGTTTCCGCATTCGACCAATCCATGAGTTCCTTGGAAACCACTCACCTACCTCATAGCCTTGTCTCTCCACTCCGCAATCTCAGATTCCCTCGCTGAGCACGGTTCACAGCTGAGGATCCTCATGTCTTCCGTGAATCTGCTGCTGCGGCGCCAGGGCGGCGCGCAGGCGGAGGACCCCGCAACGCGGCTGTTGACCGTGCTGCTGCTGAACCTTCGAGTGCCGGTGGACGTGAGTTATTGGGCGACTTGGGAAGAAGACAGGGATGAGATGGGAGGAGGAGGAGGTGACGTTGGAGGTGTTGGACCATTCTGCTGTTGGTAACCGGGCGCTCCTTGAGGCTCCGATGCTGTCGTTGTTCTTCGTGGGCTATTTGACCCTCGCGAACACGCGGCAGTTTATCCAGCGGCTCTTGAGCATCTTTCGCACCTTGGGCAGCACGGTTTTCGAGTTTGTCCATTCGAAGCACCAACTGTTTTTGCGATGGTTCTCTTAGGTCATTGAAGGGGTCCCGTGCATCGAACTTTGGAGTCTTTCGCCAAGAGGAGCGACTAGAGGCTCCAAACACCCGGAAAACGGGAAGTCTAACAGGATGAGATTGAAGTGAACCGAGGGTGGTTTCGGCTGGACAGTTTTTCCACCTTTTTGCGTGGCACTGGGTGTGTCCGGCCAGGATTTTGTGAAACTTCGTACCAGACACAAGCCATTACCCCTGGTGCCGTTTCAAAAACATAGAATCCTCAGGACATCTCTAAAAGACCAGACTCGTTGGCCCTCTACAGACGGAACCTCTCCCGGTGTCGGTGTTCCTCTTCGCGGAATCGGGCTCCGCCGTTGGGCTTTCACCGGTGGAGCCCGGTGCTTTCACCGGGGGAGCGCTGCGCCGCTGCCCTGAGGCATGGTGAGCACCTCGGTGACCTCGAACTCGCTGGCGCTCCTGGTCTCGGAGGTCATGGCGACGCCTGGAGGATCCAACGGCGTCGGCGTCGGCGGTCAGTGAGTGGTGCGTTCCGTGTGGAGGAGGAGGAGGAGGAGGAGGAGGATCTTGGTGCCTGAAAATTGATCGCTGTCCAGGTTGGTAGGTTTGCAGTTTGCTGGTCTTTCTGAGGGGTGTTCAAATCGACGTGGATGAGCGAAGGGGAATGGTGCGTATTTTCACAGGGAGACCGCCAACCTATGGGTTCCATTCTATTTCCTTTCTTCCACGGGGTCCATCTGGAAAGTCTCCCTATCTTAGTACTTAGTACACAACCATATGAACGATGAACCATGTTTGAACAAGGCCCTTTTAATGTTGGCAGGTCCCCAACCCTTTCCACGATTGCCTTCCTTCAAGAGGATAACGTAAAGACATTTCCTTGGAATTCACGCACTAAAACACGACATGAGGTGGGTAACAAGGCTCCAACATGCCCCGCTTGGCTCTCTGTCAGGCAGAAACTTAGAACACGAGATAGCATGGCAAAACCCAGAGACTCAAAAAGCCTGCATGCCCGACCGGTACCACATGGGGAGTATCACAGAAGCCTGAGTTCTTCCACGTTTGAGATGTTTCAGTGGTCCAAAGTTGTGTCTTGATTGGACGATGTGGGGTGTCCCAGTGAGACGCGTGTGGCAAAGGGCCATGAGAGGAAAGATAGCTCTGAGAGGAACAACATTGAAACTAGTAGATCATCCAGCTCAGCAAAGGTGTATGTATGACTTCTACTTGTCTCATCAATTGCTGCCGCTGCGACTGCTGGAAGTACCGGCGGAACACTCTCAAAAAGGAAACCCAACAAAGAATACGTGGAAGGCCACAGCCAAACTGGAACGTTTACATACCTTTACTATTGTCATTCTGCTCAACTCATTGTGAATCTTTGCCAGCCTTCTTACCTCGCGTGTGGTTTTTCTGCGCTAGACTTCGCACGTGGCAGCCGCATGGCAGCCGCCATCGTTCGCACACGAGAAGCTCATGTCCTCGCCGGGCCAAGGATGTACTTCGCTGCCTGCGTGATCCTCACGCTGCGTTTCGTTCCAAAGCGCGACCGCGCCGACCTTCTGGCGCTGGTGGGGGAGGCGGGACCGCCGGCGGTCCGCCTGGGGGGGGGTGGCCGGCGGGATCGCATGGATGCCATCAAAGCCTGCTTGCAGTTGCTATGTTTGGAGGGACTGTGAAAGGGTAGAAAAGATGTTGGGATCATGTGAGTGAGTTTTTTACGGGGTTTCCAGCAACGTCTTTCACATCAGAACTGGTCCTTTGGGGTTTGAGGTTTTGATACCCTCCAAGTATTTCAGGAATAGGCAGCCCCTTTGTTTGACAACGTGTCAATTGTCGGGCGGGCTGTTTGTTTGACACGTTGCGTGAAAACGATGATGCAGGTTGGGGTTGGACACTGGCCACACTGGATCATCAATGTTTTGCCATAGAGGTTGACGGTGTTTGTGCTATGACTTGTCAGTATTGCTGAAATGTGGGAAGGCTACACCCGTGGAGACTCTCCCGGCCAGGTGGATTTGTCTTCCGTGCACCTGCACTTCGACTACGTCTTCCTGCTTTCATCCCTTTGCTCCATTGCAGTTTTCAGCTTGAGTTACTGGCTAAAGTCGCCAACTACAGACACACCTCATGCAGATTAACCCGAGCAAAAGAGACACCGTTTTCGCGGTTGGGCGGGGTGGGTCCTTGCACATCGCCCGGCAACGTTTCGTTTCAGGGCTGCAATGTTCCGCAATGGATGTAGGGAGGCTTTTCAATCTCGTAAAATCACCACTACCACACTGCTCCACCTTTCGTTGGTTTACCTTGGGGTCCTTCGGATGCCCGCGTTCCAGTCGCGGAGTTGGCCCATCTCGTATGAAGGTCGGTCTCCTGCTTCCCCCGATCCAAGGGATCGCTGGGAGAGTTGGTGCGTTTCCTCCAGGCGGTCGACGGATTCGCCCGCCCCAGCGTAGGAAGCAGTCCCAGCAACCGCTTCGGTTCGCCTTCGGTGCCAACAGCCGCCCTTCAAAACGCGGGGTGTGAAATGATACTTCCGTTCCGTTCAGCTGAGGGTACTTCCTTCTGAGCTTGCTGGGTGTCACCTACCTCCAGCTCTTGGGCGCCTTCGATGAGAAGCCCAAAGACCTCTGAACCGCGGGACGTGGCTTCGGGAAAAACCACTTACTTGCGGACCGCGCTGAGCAGTGCGAAGGGGGGGGGTGTGGTGTCACGGAGGGAGCCATTTTGGAGGTTAGTTAAACTAAGTTAGTTACAGAGTTAGTTGTGAGCAGCAAGGTAGGGTATGTGACATGCCACTTATGTCTGCCTTGAAGACTTACTATACTGTACGGTAACAATGCACTCATGAATATTATATGGTTGGTGATAGAAAGCATGGACATTCAAATTGTTATATACACTCTTTTTGTGGTCAGGGAATCAGTTAAGCTACGAAGATGCGCCTCTGGTTCACAGGATGTTGCTTGTGTCAAATTGAATTCAATTGTCACTTGGGGCTGATCTTGGCTCGTGGACATGCCGAGTTTTTTTGCTCACCATGAGTGGTTGAAGAGCCAGCTTGGCCGGTGGCCCCTCTGTGCTCTTTTGCAGGAGGAAGCCTTCGTCAAGGCTGTGGAGAGGCACATAGACCGGAGCTCCATGTTTTCCAGCTTCAGGTCTGAGGTCTCCAGAGAAGAGCTTTGAAGCACCTATGCGATATATAAATATATATATATATGGATATGGTTGATGCATCAGGGTTGGCGGGTGAACTGAGACCCCAACAGACTTCTCGAGACCCCAAAACGGAAGCGCAGCCAGACGTCACACGGCAGCCAGACCGAGGAGGACGACCGGTCGCCTTCCCGAAACGGGTGTTCTCCATTGAAATCGAAATGCTTCGTTGAAGTGAAGCAAAGTCCTGTCTGTGAAGCACTGTCAGTCCTGTCTGTGGTCTGTTTGATCGATCACTTTTTCGTGATCGTATGCCAAGTGACTGGCTCCATCGACGCCCACCGGAGCGGTCTTCCACTTCAGCATCGAGCTGTGAAGGAACCGAGTATACAACCGCGCTATTGGAAAGGTTGGGGACGTTAGGACACAAGTGTGTGTCAAACACCTGCAGCCTCCTCCGCCACGGTGAACGTAAACAGTCTCATCCAACTTCAGATTCTTCTCCAGTGACATGCGAACTCCAATTAGCTGTTGGAAGCCGTTTCCCGCTCACGCCTTTTGGAGGCCTAACCGGACACCAGCTCATCAACGTCTCCTTCCTCCGCCGGCACCGTTGGACGTTTGCCTTGTTCCGTTGGGCGTTCCCTCCAAAACCGCTCGTCTCGTCCGCTGGGAGCCTCTTCGAAGGGGGGGGGGCCCGACGCACTGGCGGAGGCTGGGTGTGGCGCTGCATCCGGGAAAGCTCTTTCACATGCTCAAGAGCCGCAAGGAGCCGGGCGCGACCGGGTCGCGCTCACGGAGGGATCTGCCGATGGTTTTCGGGAACGCTTCAGGTGAAGCGGAGTGTTGTCCTGTGGGTGGAATCTGGATGGGTTTTTCGTCCGACCGCTGGGCTGTGCGTTTTTGGGGTGTCTCACTTGCTGCGGCGGCGGCAGTGCGGGCACGAGGCACAGCGGAGCCCTGGTGGTGGTTGGACCCATGACGTGCTAGGACTTGCAAGGGTGATTCTTGCTGAAAGGGAAATGAAAGAAAGTCACCTAAATTCATGAAAGAGTCGCGTCTTTAACTGGCAAATAACGGTTGTTTCTCTCCGGTGCAGGAAGTTCAAGTGCAGCGTTTGACGTACGACCGGAGTGGTTATTGCCATAAGTCACCTGCACGCATGCACGGTGAATTGACGTACCTGTTTAACAAAATCGCTTTGTAGCGTTGATTCTACTCTGCCCGGCGAAGAAATCGTGCCCGGTGCCCAGGCCTGTGCAAACAGTGTCCGCTCCCGATATAGCACCAATAACAGCCGATATCACTTAGCAGGATGCAACAAAAAGCTTCAGAGTCGATGCATCCTCTTGTCAGGTGTTGCAGTGATTTCTGAGTGTAGATGTTTGCTAGCTATACCTACCAAGGTTGTGAGTAATGATTTGATTAACTTACTTCATTCAGTTCACATCCTGGTCATCCATGAACCGCATCGCGCCGGTAGTTTCGCGGCTGTGCGTTTCTTTTTCGTCTACAACCACACTCAGCCGACCAAACCCTTCTCTTGAACGGTCTTCTTCTTGATGATTTGTTCCTTCTCCCAGCCGTTTCAATCACCCATTAGCCACCAAAAAGACACACCACGAACCACGCGGTATAACCAGTCCACCACGGCTCGGCTAACCCCTCCGACTCCCCAAAAACCGTCCGGGAGACAAACCGACCCAGGGCGTGTCGCTGCTGGAGCTGGACCCTGAAACGTGGCCACTCGGCCGGGACGTGTATCTTTTTTGCGGAGCTCTGAGCTGAGGCAAGGATGAAAACGGCGAGCAGGATCTAAGTATGAGTATAGGTCACTATATATATATTCTACTTTTTGTACTACTCTGCATTTTTTTTGCACAGCCACCCACCCCTCCACCTTTCTGCTTGGTTTCAAACAGCTCAGAGCTTTGGATGGCGGATGGCTATCCTTCCATCCTCACGGAGGACCCCCGAAGTAGATGGGACTCAAGTCCAAGGCCAGGATTGTCGCCACTCCCGGCAGCTCCTGTGTAGCGACTCCTCGCCCGGGAATGGGGATCACGACGGATAGACGCGGGGTGCAGGTTCTCGACCTCGAGACAGGGTTCAGCCGCTCATAACATCCTCAAGACGTCCAGGCATATCAGAAAGCAGATGTTGATGATACTACCAATGTTGAAGACAAACTCAAAGATTGAAGTCACTCCGTTGGTTTTTGGGGAAGATTGGTTTTGAGAGCATTCTTGAATCAGAGTACTCTGGGAGAACACTAGTGGGTACCCTACAACCAGCTCTCCACTCTCCACCTCTTTCTCGGACGGACCTCCTATTCTCCACATCCACCGTTCTTGCCCCCCAGGAAGAGGCTCCGCAGCATGCGCCACGCCCCCGTGACGGAGAAGGAGTCCGATGTGCGTGGACAGCCACGGCCTCGGGCAGTCGGCTCCGTCAAAGGTCGATGACTCCCGGCATAGCCTGTTGAGGATTGCTTGTCCACAGAGAGACTTTGAGAAAACGGAGGCTTTGTCATGTCCCATAGGCCCATAGGTTGATGTTGCTGGTCCTGGGAACGTCGATTTGGATGACTCCAGATTTTGAGGTCTTTTTGAGGGAGTTTCCCGCAATTGGCAAAGGTCGTGCTTTCCTCAAAAGTAGCTGTGGTTGCGCTGAGCTTGTTTGCTGGTTTATGATGTGGATATGGCTGTGTACTCGCTAATCCTCCTGTTATGGTGTTGTACTGCTATGGAATTCGAAGGTTTTGGGTTGACTTCAAGTTTGGGTGGTTTGCCTCCATGTTCTCCACTTCAGCTCATTTCTATCCTCGTGCTGACAGCCACAGTTCTGAAAGAAGAGACTTCGAACTCTCGTACAAGCCCACTTGAAAAGGTACAGCTCCTACTGTTCAAGGAGGACATCTTGCACCGCAGAAAACCACCCTGAAAACGCTGGGGTCGCCAAAAAGTGTTGGACAGATCCGCATCTATATAGGTCCGTCCAAAGATCTGATACCGCAGGTCTTCATACAAAGTTTTGAAGATGAACCTTAAGATCCTGTTTCATCCCACTCAAATACCTGGCTATACCTGGCTGCATTTGCCTGGGGGATGCCAAGCAGAATTGGAGCACCTCCCGGAACCCCGGCTGCTTCGCGGAAAAAAAAAACCGCTCCGGTCGAGATCCCATCTTACTTCGGTCCACGCACCCGGACCCGGTCGGTCTCGGAGTTTGGAGCGAAGAAGCCGAGGGCTTTGGAGGGAAAGAGAAAGGTGCAGATGTGATACGACGAGACGAAGAGATGACGCTCGAAGCTTCTGCTTCCTTTTATTCAGAGATGCCGCCGGGCCTGGCAGCCCGATCAGAAAGCCCGATCAGAAGCCCGATCAGAAGAGGTTTTACTCTTTCAACCTTGAGGACTTGGGGGGCTAAACGGTTTGATTCCTCCAGGTCGTGTAGACTCGTCTACACCCGAGTCCTTCCGTTCCTCGCTTGCGGGGTGTCCCAAGAGTCCAGTCTAGGGGCTTGTTTGGCAGAACGGCGCGAGGTCCAAGAGCGAGGAGGGATCCAAGAAGGCGGGAAGTCTGCAGGGTGGAGAGGGGGAGGAGACCGGGGGTCTCTGGCAAAGATGTGGAGCCAATTCTCAGAATGGAGAGTGGAGAGGTGTTTTGAGTTGGTTTCGGGAGATGCTCAGCTGTCTTTCAAGAAACAACACTTTGGTTCTTGAAGAAAATGGTCGCCAGGCCGCCCGTGCCCCCCCCCGAACCGGAGCTTGCCCGCCACCACACACAGAGCGGGCTCCCCGCTGCCTTTGGTTGGCCCGCCGCAGGTGCCGCCCTTTCCGGAAGGCTTCCGACAGGCGCCGTCTCGCCGGAAGTGTCCTCGTCGCTGGGCGCGTCGTGCGTGTGAGGACGTCTGCCCTGGCCATGCGGAGGGTTGATGCCCTGACCGTGGAATTTGGGTTGTTTCTTTGGATGATCACCTTTTGGGGCTCTGTACAGGAAGTGTCACAAGTGCCCATTGATTGAAACAGCCATGACGAGGGTATGGGCCCTTCCCACCCCTCACAAGCTATGAACCCTGCTAGTCCCCAGCTTCTCAGCATGTCAGATTCTTGGATCGTTGTGCGGGTCCCAACATTTCCGCTGTTGTCCTAGAGCGGTACCCAGACAAGTGAACAAAGGAATGGACATCAGCTTCCCCAGAAACTTGATGCCAGTCTGGGGTGCACCATGAAATCGTTGGTTTGCTCCTTTATCAATCATTTGTATTCTTTCATCTTTTATCAATCATCTGAATTCCCAAATGTAAAAACAGAAGACCTTTGTTATTGACGACCCACGAGGAGAAGGAAAAAGGCCCGAACGTCCGAAGCCAAGCTTTCCGCGCGCTGTTCGGATTCCTCGGTGCCGCGCCACCCATCCGACGCCCTTCCTCCGGCGATGTTCCTCCGGTGACCGCGACCGATGGAACCTCGCCCCCACCGAGGGGGTTCAGAGCTGGGTTTTGGGTGGGTCGCCGCACCATCGCGGGGCCCTGCATGTTTGGAGTCTTGGGTCGTCTTCTTTCCGACTGAACGATTCCGAAACGACCGAACAGCGAAGAAGCCCCTTCCGAACGACGGCCAGGCGCTGGTGCGGCGCTACGGATCGCTCCTGGCCGCATGGCGGGAGGTGGGGGCACGGCCGGGGCCGGTGTGGGCTGGGAGGAGGGACGGTCTTTGCATGTTTCATCCTGTGCGGATGCGAAGAACGGTGAGGGACGGTTTTGGAAAAAGGAATTGGTGGATTGGCGCCCCAAAAGAGGAACACACCTGGAGAAATGGATCAGGTGCGCATCTCTGCCTTCGCGATTCACGATCCAAGTCCTGGCGGTTTCCAGCATCTTCTACTTGGAAGAACCAGTTTGCCACCTGGTTTTGCACCAGTCACCAACCTCGGACCTGAAAGAACGCATCGTGTGAAACGATGTGTCAGGATGCCAACTATAGGAGCTTCGTTAACGAAAGCCTCTCCCCTCCACTCCGGAGACCCCCGTGGCGCGAGCGGGCGTCCATGCCCTCCAGGCTTTAGACGTGGACGCCCGCGGCCGGCTGACCTTCGGGGAGTTCGAGCCAAAGCCGGGATTGGAAGGCGGTGATCATGGAGGATGAGATAGAACTATGGATGGTTAGGATGAGTTAGGATGGGTTAGGAGAAGACACGAGGGAACTTAAGGACGAGCCATCATCCTAAGGTTCTTTAGCTGAGTTGGGTTTAAAAGACGCAGAAACCACCCGCAGGCCCGCAGACTACTGTATTTGTGTTTGTGCTGGGGCGTGGTCATGACCCTGCAATTTTCTCAACATGATCCCCAAAGGCATGTTAGCAACATTTAGCAATGCTCTTTTTTCTGCAGTCCCCTGATTTGAGACCTTGATGGATACTACCTCTTCCCTGGTTGGTGTGCCTTGCGAACTCGAAGGCTCTGCAGATCCCATTCTTCTTTCTTCGGACGTGTCAGCATGGCATGAAGCACCATATATCACTCTATCCGCGAATTCCAGTGGTAGTAACCACGCAATTCCCAGACTTCACATGTTGACATGCAAAACCGCACTGCCCGGTGACTTGCTCTAAGGGCTGACAGAATAAGAAGTGCGCATAGTGCGCGTTCCTCACATTTCTTCTTTTTGTTTCTTCTTGGTCTCGGCCACCCAGTCATCGTCACAGCTCCAAGGAGGTGGTGAGATGCGGAAACCTTCCCGTCAAACAAACAACCCCTTC